AGAAAAAAAAAACAAACGCAGACGCTGATTGGAGTTGTTCTTTTGAAGGGATTTGATTTGAAGAGAATGTTTTAGTATAAAAACTATTTGCACGTAGATTGCCTAATGTTCTTAATTTCTAAGAAGATGAATAAAGTATATAACAAATATTAAAATGGAAGAAACAAACAAGTAAATCATCAATAGGATATTCATACACTTGTTTAAATGTTAAAACAGGGACGATACCTTTCTTTAATTGTTTATGAGATAATTTCATATGAGATCGTGAACATGGACCACAAATAAAAACTCCATAGTCCAAATCTACATAAGACACTTCTCTAAATAAACAATCAGCACAAATTCTATTTCCTGGAAGTATTAAGAGATTAAGAACAAAATTAAATCCATCAGTTAATTTAATATCATCAGGAATAAATGATAATGGTTCTTTGAGTGGCATTATTGGAAGGGCTTGTTCTTTAGAAACTGCAGTTGCTATATTAAATCTTACAAATGCATTTCTTAAAGCAATTAGCCATAATGATTTACTTTCATCATCTTTTACACTAAATGTATTAACCTCATATCTAAATGAAATTTCAAATGAAGAAGGACGTGCAGATACTATAGGTGATTTAATAATAAAATTACTTACATCAATCATTTTTATAGGAGTTATTCCATTAAATATATCTACAGGATTTTTGTATATATAAAGAATTGACCCAATTAACATTAAATAACATGGTTCCCATATTCCTGTTTGAAGATCTCTATACATTGCTTCTCCTTCAAAATCAGGTCTAGCTAATAATTGTTTATTTTTTTCAATAACTTGTTGTGGGTTAAGTGTATTAGAACTTATTCCATTTTGTTTAATTAATTCAGCACTTCTCGCAACTAATGGTGAATATTTTAAAACTAAACAATCATTGATTGCGTTAATGTATTTAGATTTATCTTCCATTGACTCACAGGCAACTAAATATGTTGATTCTTTAGTAATTAAGAAGAATCTATTAGTATTAAAATCAATTAATGAAGTACTAAATAATTCTAATACATCTTTACATTTAAATTTACCTGAATTTAATAAAGTATCAACAGGATTATCTTCAATTATTTTAGATGGTTTAGTTGCAGGAATAAATAATACAATATCAGAGAATAATAACATTAAATGTTGTTTTTCTGGGAATAAGTCTTGTAAATTAAATTTGGTAGGATGTCCTTGAAGACGAACAAAACCACCCATAATAAATCTTCTATACTTATCACCTGCAAGATCTAATTTTTTTAAAGTAATCTTTGATGCTAAAAATTGTACTCTTTGAATATTTTCATTATTTCTTCTTGTTTCATTTAAGTGTTTATTAATATCAGAAACAACTTTTAATGCACGAGTCAATTCTTGTCTTTCTTTATGATGATTTGGCATATTTTTTATTAATTGTTTAATAAATAATTCATATCTAGGGATACGTTGAACAGGAAGAATTAAATAACTAGCTATAGTTTGGTTTTTAACTTCTGGTTGAAGACTAAGTTCTTTAAGTTTATTTCCATAATTTTTATTTTTAATAGATTTTTGATAAATGTCATCAGACACTTGAGACTGATGATTTACATAAGTGGTATATGATTTAAGAAACATTGTAAATTGAAGAAATTGTTTAGCAAATCCATCTCCATAAATATTTTTATCTTTCCTGAATTGTAATAATGAATTTAATAATGTTTGATTATATTTAATAATCATTTCAAGGTCTTTAATTGTATTTTTTAATAATTCATCTTTATTAAAGTCTAACAATTTTTGTAAATAAAAGTCTTTTAAAATGATCAAATTATTGACATATGTTTCTTCACTTGTTGTTATTTCATTTATAGTATATTTTCTTGTTATCATTCCTTGTACTTCTTGTGTTCTTCTAACAAAATGACCACGAATTAAACATTGTAATTCGATTACTAATTTTTCAACGGAAATATTATCTTGTAATTGTTCTAAATGTTCAAATTTTTTATCTTCTTTTTCTATATCATCAAGATATCTTTGTTCAGTAAGAATTTGACGTGCACAATTAGTAACAAATTCTTTTAATCCTTTTGGTGTAAGTTTTAATTCTTCCATAACATTTTCATCATCTTTAACACCTGTAACAATAAAATACTTTCCTTTAATTTCAAATACTTTTTCATTAATTCTTTTAATATCTCCTTTAGTAATTCCAATATTAGTTCCTGGTTTTCCAGCAATTTCAACTGCTTCTATTTCAGTTGAAGTAAATTCTCTTGCTTCTCTAATTCTTCTTGTTTTTTCTTTTCTACGATGGTACGATTTTATAGGAACAGGAGGTGGAACATTAGTTGATAAATCATGTAAACTAGTTATTTTAGTGTTATGTTGAAGAAAATTTTTTCTTTCATGAATTGGTGTTGGGTTATTACTGTGAGTTAAACTAATATTTCCCGTAGATGGTGTCATTTGAGGCCTTTTAGCAACAGAAATTCTAACGCCATTCGTTACATCTCTACTTGTTTCTGTATTTTTAATTGTAAAATTAACGTTATGATTCATTTTAACATTCTGACTACGAATGAATTCTTTTTTAACAAATGTTTGTCTTGTTATTGTTTGTGATCGTTTTCTATCAGCTTCTGATGATGTTTTTAGTACTTCAATAAAACCTAATGTAAGTTTTTCATCTCCTTCTGCAATACTACTAACTTCAACTCCATGTAATGTACCAAATTTACGTTCAGCGAGTCTTAAAGCTTCTTTAATATTAATAACTTTTTGTTCTTTTGTTTTTGGATGAGATTCAATATTTCGAGAATGAAGATTTGTTAATTTTTCAACTAATCGTAATAATATAGTCCCATCAGTAAAATCATCTAATGAATTAACTATTAAAACATTTTTACTTTCTGCTAATTGTTCATTTACCCAATCAATATAAAGTTGTGTATGATCCTCCATAATTGAATTTAGAGTTTTTATATTTTTAAAAACTTTATTTTTTGAAAGGAAAAAAAGTTTTAAAGGATTTTGAGATACTTATTCAAATTCCTTATTTATTTTTGTTATATAAGAAAAACAAATTTTAATGTTTAAATAATTCAATTAGAGCTTATAAAAAATTAATTATAACTATTCGTTTGATACCTAGAAATTTCTATTTTACATTTCATCGTCAAAGAAGTCAAAAATATATCCTTCATTTTCTTTAGAACCTCCTGGTATTATTTCACAAAGATAGTGATTTGTTAAAATAGTTTCTCTAGGTAAAATATATTCATTATAATAATCTTCAAATTGGTTCATAAATAAATCATTATGAATTTCATCACTTGGATCATCTTCTGCAACGAGATGAATATTATTCATTAAAATAATTGATAATGAATGATGGTCTGGATAATAATTAAATTGATTTTTAAATTGAATAGATTTTTTATCTTCTTCAACAAGTCGTTTTAATAAACCAATTTCAAGTAATGAAGATTTTAAAGGTTCAACTGATTGATTAATAATAAAACTAATTATATCAAAAGCTACTTGTCTGAATATTGTACAATTATGATTAAAATTAAAGAATATATCAAGTAATATATTCATTAATTTATATTTAATAATAAGACTATATATATATGAATAATTAGATAATGTTAATGAAAGAAGTAAATGCACTAGTTGAATTCTAACTTGTGTAATTGGTCCACTTTCATATCTAAAATGATTAGAAATTTGTTCAAAATATTTACATATTTCTTGATATACCATTGGTAATTTATTATAGGGGTTTGTACAAAGATCTCCTGAATAAACAGAACAAGCTAAAATATTTTGAATAATACAAAGTCCTTTTTCAAAAACATATGAAGATCTCTAATGATAAATAAATATTAAAACAATAAATAAAATTGTAAAACAAACGGTATTGAAAATTATTAAATAAAAAGAAGATAAATTTTCATTAGAATTTAAATAATTATTAAAAACGGATGATGATTCTTTAAGTAATGTAATTTCTTCAATAAGAGATGTAATACTTTCAATTTTATCATTATCCCCATTATTTTCTGATATAATAAATAATTTTAATAAATCATTAATAAATCCATTTTGACATAACCAATATACACCTGTAGCTTTACACATTTCATCTTTAGATGAATATTTCATTATACTTAGAATAAATTGAGACACTTCATAATTAGTAATTTTATTTATAAGAACACTGATAACATTAGGAGTTTCTGACATAATTTCAAATACATTCGATGTTGGTAAATTCATTAATACTGATAATACACGACTAATACAACTTATTGTTATTTCATCTTCAGACTGTGACATTTCTTTAAAGAGCAAATTAATTAAATGAGGGAAATAAAATATATTTTCTGAAATTGTCATAATTTCTGAACAAACTATTTGTGTAGCTGGAGATTGAAATCTTTCATCCCCAGTTCCACAAATATAATCAAATAATTGATCTAATACATGTTCTCCAGATATACTATTTCATTTAATACCTTTTTATTTTTTTTATCAGTTAATTATTAACAAACAATTTTTGAAGTCGCTTATTAATTCTTAATTCAGTTAAGATATCAGGTAATTCTAATAATTTCTCTAATGAACAATTAGGCGATCTCAGTACAAAATTAACTGGGGAAGGCACTTGTTCAAGATATGGGCTTTGGCTCATTTTCATGTTTGAATAAATTTCTAGTGAAACGAGTACAAAAGTCAAATCAAAACGAAATTTTATATATACCAAAAATATAGTACCTCCTTTTTCACTCTTGAACTTTCTTTTCACTTATTATCCTTTTTTTTAACTTTGTTATTCAAAATTCACTCTTTTTCTTCATCTATTTTATTTCTATGGTAGTTAGGTATTGTTTTTCTTTAAAATCGGAACATAATGGTTTTTGTCTTTTGAGGAAACCTCAACACCACCGATTTTGAAAAAAAAACATGATGTTCTTTTCATTCTTTACGTCGTATAAATCCTTCTTATCAGTCCATTTGGTCCTTCTTTTATTTTGAATTTTCTATGATTTTTTGAACTTTTCAACTAAATTTATTTTGTAATTCATAGAAAAAAAAAATAAAAAAAAAATAAAAAATAAAAAGTAATTGAAAAAAGAAAAAGAAGGGCAAACTAAAAATTTATAAAACTTCTGCTTTAAGTTTGATTGTTTCTTTATTTCTAAGGTATTAAATACTCAAATTAGTTAAGTAAAGCAGTTGATGATGAAAATTAATAAAAGTAGTAAACAAAATGAATTATTTCAAAGATATAAAAAAGAAAAAAAGGTTCAGAAGAATTTAACAAAAGAATTCCCTAAATAAACTTTTAATTTATGATGATCTCAAATTTCATCTAAGTTAAAATGGATTTTTCTCTGTTGATAAAATGATTAGTAAAAGTAATTAAATTGAATAAATTTTTATTTCATTTGGACTCTCACCCTTTCTTTAAGATATTTAAACAAGAACTCAAGATCGTTTATTTCATTCACTTCTTTCAAGATGGCTAGAACTAAAGGAAATAATACTACTGAACGACCTGCTACTTCTAAACAACCGAGAAAATACTACGCCCCAAAGTCTGCTTCAAAAAAAGCAGCTGTCTCTTCTAAGAAAGCCGTTGCTAGTGTTTCACAAAAGAAACCAGTAGCACGACATTCACATCCAGGAATTAAGGCTTTACAAGAAATTAAATTTTACCAACGATCTACTGAACTTTTATTAAGAAAATTACCATTCCAACATTTAGTTAGAGAAATTGCTCAACAGTCTAAATCTGATTTGAGATTTCAATCTGCTGCTATTGCGGCACTTCAAGAAGCTGCTGAAGCTTATCTTGTTGGTCTTTTTGAAGATACTAATTTATGTTCACTTCATGCTAAAAGAGTTACCATTATGCCAAAAGATATGCAACTTGCTAGAAGAATTAGAGGTGAACGTCAATAAATTGTAGTCATTATTAAAATCTCTTTTTTTCTTCTCTTTTCAGGTTATAAGGGATCTTAAATATATATGACTTTAGTTTTTATGTAAATTTCCCTAATTCTTACGGTGATTTAGTTCATTGTAATAATAATTTCATTTGAACCAACACAAAAACTGAATCAGAACGTGATTCTGTTCTTATTTTGAGATTAATTTTTTTTTATTTTTAATTTTTCAAAGTTTATGAAGTTAGAAGTTTAAAATAAGAGAAAAAAAAATAAAAAGATAAAGTGAAGAGAAAGATTGAAGTGAAAGAAAAAAAAAGAAAAAGAATTAATAAGTTGTATCATTAAACGAACTCATAATTTATTGTGTTTAAGATGAGTATCTTTAAGTCATTCAAAAAACAATCCAAACCTAATAACACACTTACAACTCCTATTCACAAAAATGAATTTTATATCTTATTTAATAAACATTTTACAAGTTATTTATCAACACATCACATTTCTGAGTTAGAAAAATGTATTGAAATATTTTTTAAAATTCCAAGTGAAAAAATACGTGATTTACCAATGGTTTCTACTTTCTCTAATACATTGGTTAATATTTTTATTAATGCATTAAATCCTATTAAAATTGACAAATTAAATTGGTTAATAGGTACAAAGATACAATCATTACCAGATGGACAAGAGTTATTTAAATGTCTTCATGACTTAGCTCAATTTGGTTCTGGAGAAATATTAACAGTATTTGATAGAAATGAATTTGTTAATAAAATTACTGATTTATATTCTTTTTTAATTCAAATAGAAAAGAATGAATATTCAGAATTATTGTCTTTACTAATGTCAATGATTATTCTTATTGTACCTCCTACACCAAAAAAAACTTTACCATTTGGATTATTAGTTTTACGTTTTGATAAACCTGATATTCAAATTTATTTACTTCCTGTGTTTCAAACTATTACTCATGCTCATATGGATCCAGAATTAATTCAAGTAGTTGCAAGGGAAAAATCAGTACAAATATCTGTAAAAGCTCTTGAACAAGCAAAACCAAATAGTGATACGTTAAGGCTTATTGAATCATATCTTTCGTTTGTTAAAAATACTGCATTATTATCTGATGCTATTTTAAATTGTGTTTCAAACAATGGATTTTATGAAGCATTATTAGTACTATTAATTGAATCAGATAAAGAATTAATTACAGGAGTTGATGGGGTTTTAGATATGTTAGCACCTCTAATGTTCTTTGGAGATTTTACACCAACAATTCCAATTAATGATGAATACAATAATAATACAAGAATATTAGCAAATAGATATCCTTATTTCCTTGTAAGAAATAAATATATTCCATTATTTTTACAAAATTATTTATTAAAAACAAATCGTGAAGAAGGAAAATTACATACTATGAAAATAATTGAAAGAATCTATCGTGAAAATCCAATGAATTATTTAGTTTTACATTCTATTAATTATACACCTAAATTATATTTAATATTTGATCAAGTATCTCAACCAGTAAGAGATGTTATGCTTTCTTTATGTGTGTATTTGTCTCGTTGTCAAAAATTTGTACCATATAAAGAAATTGAAGTTATTACAACTCATTTAACAATTGATAAAATTAATAAACATCCTGAATTAGTTAGTGCATTTGATTATTTAACAAATCAATTACTTATAGATAGTAAAGGATATCAAAAAATATTTGAACAAACGGGAATGACTATTAACGCAATTACTGTTTTTATTTATTTCGCTACTCATTCAAATGAAATAAACCAAAGTTTTGTTTTACAAGGAATGATTACTTTAATTACTCGATTAATGAATCATTCTGTTAGTAATTTTACATTATTTAAAGAAACTACTGCTATGACAGCTGCATTATCATTGTTTAAACAAAATATTAATTTAAGAAGGGATTTAACAAAGTTATTTACAGCTGTTATTGAATATTATGACCCAATTCAAACTACTGATTTATTAAAGAAAATGATTGAGCCACTTGAAACAGATCCATCTCCAATTATTTTATTAAAATGTGTTTGTGCAATGTTATATAGAAGTTCTGTAGTAAAAGAATCATTTAGACAATTGGGAGGATTTGAATTTTATAAAAGATTATATAAATATTGGAATTGGTCACTTGAAAGTATTCCAATAAATGGAGTAACTGAAGACCGTTATTCATTTATTGAATATTGTTTTGTTGCTATGATTTATGCTATGAAAGGAAGTAAAGATAATAGAAAACATTTTGATGAAACATTTAAAAATGGAGAATTAATTCAGTTTATTCAAAACTCTCCATTTTTAAATGAAGAGAATAAGTGTAAATATTCAGAAAGAATGACATGTTTATTAATTGCAATAATCTTTGAAATTCCTGATATTGATAAAGTTCAAAATCTTGGAGTATTTACAAAACCTGTTGGAGGAGTATTAGTTTATCATCCATTTGTTCTTCACTCATTAATTAGATTAATACATTTTGCTTTAAATGTTAAACAACAACAGCTTGTTCTTAAATTTTTAACCTTAACATCAAAAGAAGATATTAATGTTAGAAAAATGTCATTTGAACATATTACTACAACATTGATTAAAGAATTTAAAGAGGATATTACAAAAGAATCACCTTTACATAGTACATTATTAGAATTATTAACTGAATTAATTGCATATGGTGTAGAACTAGAAGATGTTTCTGTGTTTATGAAATCATTAAAAAGACAACCTTGTGATGAAGGTGTACTAAGTTGTTTATTAAACTCAACAATCAAGGCAGATAGGAATGGGGCATTAAGTTTTAACACAGCACCAAATGGGTATTCTTGTTTATCTATTCCAGTTGATACAACACTATTTCCATTACAACAATGGAGTATTTCAACATGGGTAAATTTACCACCAGTTGTTAGTGAACTATCTTTATTTCAAATTTATCAAACCATAAATGGAACAGAACAAAATTTTATGCAATTAATTGTGAATCCAAGTGGGTTAAGAGTTACGTATGGATCAAAGGTGGTATTTGATAATATGCCATTACCAAGAAAATGGAATCATATTGTTTTAGTAGGAAAAGGAAAGAAAATTACATTATATATTAATGGATTATTAAAATCAACAGCTAAATTAATAAATTATAATCCAACACCATACCGTTGCGTTATTGGACATTCAAAAGAAAATAAAGTAATTCCAAATTCAGTTTTTAAGATAGGACCATTGAAATTGTTAGAATATCCATTTTCTGACCAACAAATTAGAGAATTGTATTTATTAGGAGAAATGTACCAAGGAAGTTTCCAAACGATTGATTATTCAAGATATGAAGTCTTACCAAATTATGATTCAAATGATGTCAATGTAATTCAAAGCTTTACTGATATTAAGTCATTAACATATTCAACATTTAATTTAAATATTCCAGAACAATCTATTATTATTAATACAGATCGTATATTAACTCCTTATGCTTTAAATTCATGTGTTGCATTTGGAACAGTAAATTTAGCATCTCCTCATGATATTACAGATGGAATTTATAAAGTGGGGGGAATTGCATTATTATTGGCATTAATATTAAAATCAGATACAAAAATAAAATTTGATTTATCATTAAAATTACTTCTTCATTCATTAAGAAAGTCAGAAGATCTTTTTGAAGAAATGAAACAATATCATGGTTTTGATTTATTAAACCTTTTTATTTATCGAAAACCTTCTTTAGTTACAACAGAATCTATTATGACATTATTGCTACTTTCTGGTGTTGATCCTACAAAGAAAGATTCTGCTGTAATTTCTTCACCAGATGTATTTGATATATTAATATTAGACTTTTCATTATTTCATAGAATGGAAGATCCACAAACAACATTTTTATTTATTCTTCAATCATTTGTTTCATTAATTTATAACAATAAATATGCACAAACTAATATTAATATTTTACGTTCTTTACATTTCTTATCTAGGTTAATTGATTTATTCCAAGATGATACTATTGATGATGGGGTTATTCAAATTATTATCAACTTGTTACAATATTTCTTACTTCATAGTTGTACTGGTGATGATTTAAAGTTATTAGTTAGGTTATTAATTCATTTTATTTCTATAATGGATGACAAACAATCAACTTCACTTCTAATTCAAAAATCAGAATTAAGGTGCATTTCTTTAATAAAATTAATCAATTTCTTATCAACTAATTTGAAAGATAAAACAACGTTATTATCAATATTTACACCAAGTATTTTATTTCATATGTTATCACTTCAGTCATTACCAATAAATATTGTTATTGCTGTTATGAAATTATGTGCATCATTCATGGCTGTTGGTTCTCAAACAAAACAACTTTTTGTAAATCAATTTAATAAAGAAAAAGGAATTGTATTCATTAACTTTCAATTACCACATTGTACTGAATCAATAGATGTTGTTTATGTGTTATTAGCTTTAATTACATGTCAAGTTGTTCCTGATATTGTTTCTGATTCATTCGAACAATATAAAAAAATGCCATTTTCATCAGTTTCAATACAATCACCAGAGTATATATCATCATTATTGAAATTACTTAGATTTCAAATTGTTCAGTTTCAAGTTGCTACAAGTTCAACGGTTGATATAATGAATTTAGTTCAATTTACTGGAAGTGTAATCAGAACATTAATGGAACAACAAGAAATAACTAGTTATGTATTTAGTGAATGTTTAAATGATTATATATCAATATTAGTTGATAAAAATGGTTATTTCAAAATGGGTCATCCACTTGAACCATTATTCCAAAGACATATTGTTGCTTTAGGAATGCTTTTGCTTTCCAAATGGTTCAAATTGGAAATAAGATATTGTACCACATGAAT